AAGACGATTCCAAAGGTTTTATGATTAAAAATGCTATCCAGCTCCAGAAAACGATCTAATGAAGTCTGAATGCAGATTATTGAAGCATACTGTTTTGGGGGGTTTTTTGGTCTGTGTTTTCTTTCACAACATGACCATTATGGAAACGTTTTGCATGATTTCCACATGTATAATCTGTATCAAATTGCTTGCTGTCTTGGGAACGGTGAAATGAGGGAGGAAAAGAATTTAGAACTCAAATTTTTAAAAATGTTAAAAATTGTTTTTACATGTAATTAGAAAAAAAATAAAATATGCAAAAATTTTTTTAAATGGGGAGAGGACTGTTTGGGGAAAATGATTCCATATGATAGACTGTGAATCTCTGAAACCTCCAAGACAGATATGCAACACGAAGCATGATTTTATCCTCTCCTTTGCATTCTTCCTACCTTAAAAGCCACAGAAACTCTGAAAAAGAGTTCTGAAAAGGAGTGAAGGTGTTCAAAGAGTGTGTGTGTGTGTGTGTGTGTGTGTGTGTGTGTATACATACATGTTTACTTTTTACTTTGAACCTACAGAATCAATTGGTACTTCTTCAACTACTCATCAATATTCCTAACATTTATGAAAGCCTTGGGGGAAATTACTGGGAAAAGAAAAAAAACTCAATTTAAAAAAAAAATGCTGGAAAAAGGAAAACTACGTTTTGAGACCAAAAGTTGTTAGAATCTTATCTGCAATGTTATAATTAAAGTTAATAAGAAAACATGATTTATTTTGCAGACAACTTTGTTAAAACATATAGTGAACAAAGTATACATCTTAAAAGAAATTAAAATATATTAGAATTTTTCATTGTGGACTTTAAAAAAGGTATACAACATTTTTGTAGACAGAAGCCATGTGATTTAGCAAATGGAAAAAAAAATGATCCAACAAAACATACATAGGAATAAGGAATCGATCTATGATTTCATTGTTGTAAGAAGCTCCTCTGCTGTGGAATATCCACTACCAATTCAAATACTCAACTTACATTATTAGAAAGTCACCTGCACTGAGTGGCCAGTAAGCCAGTTAAGTATCAGAGGCAGAAAGTAAATGCAAATCTTCCTTGTTTTCAAGGCCAGCCCATCTACTACACCATGCATTGTTTTCAATTTCCCTGACAAAGATGAAAAAAAATGTAGAAAACAAAAATATAGATCCTTGTAAAATTCTAGACTGAGTTATTATTAAACATTTGGCTTGTGAATACTAACAAATATGTAGGACTTACTAGGAACCAACATAAAAATAAATCATGACAGACGAAAGAAATTTTTTTTCAATAACATCACTAGATACAAGAATAAGATGCTATATAGATAGATATAGATTTCAAATAAAGAATTTGACTTTTTTTCTTAAATCCTTACGGATAGGATGATAAAATGGGGATTAGATGAAATGGGTGGAATTCACAGAAAACTAAAGATTTATACAGAGTGTTTTCTCAGTAGATCAATGACAAACACCAAGTGAGATCTCTAGTGGCTCTTTACCTAGTCCTGTTGTAGTACAAAATTTTTAGCAATCACTTGGATGAAGATATAGAAGGCATGGTTATCAAATTTCCTGATGACACAAATTTGAGAGGATAGCTAATATAACAAAAAACAGAAAATAAGATTCAAAATTCTCGAATACTGTAGTGATAGGCCCAAACTAGCAAGAAAACATTAATAATTGTTAAAGCCTTATGTTTAGTTCACAAAATCAACTCTACAACAAACTTAGTAGCATGGGATTTTTATCTGATCACAAGTTCTATATGGGGTTAGCAGTATGATAGACATAGGCTCTGTGATTTCAATGGGATAGTAAACTCCCAGGTAAGTAAACTTCCTCTACAATAAAGATTTTGTTGGCACTCTTGTCTGCAACTCTGTAACACCATAATCATAGGTGGGAGCCTACAGCACTGAGAAATTAAATGACTTACCCCAGATCATACAACCTATACATGCCAGAAGTGAAATCTGAACCTGTATCTTCTCATTCCAGGCCAATTCTATCCACTGCATTACAATGTCTCTCAATAAAAGCATTATGATATGCAAATAACACAAAGTAATGGTACCATTGTACCATGTGCTGTTCAGGTAAATCTGGAGTACTAGGTTCAACTTTGTATATGACATTTCAAGAGGATCATTAAACTAGAATGCTTCTGCATAACAGTGGTCTAGCTAATGAGGGGTTTTGGTAACTATAACCATATCGCTTATGATATGAAAATGGGAAGGAACAAAGTATGTTAAACCTACAAAAGAAAAAATTAAGGGAGAGTGATATTCAAACATTTTAGTGGCTAGCATTTGGAAAATGCTGTGGTTGCTTCAGAGGACATAATAATGATGAGTAAATTAGTACAAGGAGGCAGATTACAAATATAAAAAAAAAACCCTATCAATCAGAACTATCCAACAATGGAATGAAATAGTAAAATAGCAAGGTATCCATTACTGTAAGTACTCGAGTAGAGGTGAAATAAGTATTTTTCTGGAAGCAGTCCCTGCAGTAGGTACTAACTGATCAATTATAAATTATTTGGCTAAAAGATCATAGAGGTCTCTTCCAAATATAAGATTAAATAATAGTATCAAACTAAAGACTGAAAATAAAAGGTGTTTGTGGATAACCTATGTTAATGATTTAACCATAAAAGTGAAAGACTATAAAGATAAACAAGGACTAAAAAACTCCTAATACTTAAAAAACATATAAAAAGCCCCAGGGAGTGCAAGCAAATTTAAACTATGTTGCTGTTGTTCCTAAAAGAAAAAGGGGAAACAAAACAATAAACAAAAGACTATGTATGAAAGATATGATATTCTGATACCTAGGTCCACTCTCGTCCACTGCGTAAAGTGGGGGAAAAAACCAAATACAATAATAATTAATAATAATCCCTCATGACTGTTATTTTTCCCTCTCTCTTTGTCAGGGATCCATGAAAATGTGTACCCAAATGTTAAAAGGCAGTGAAAGGAAAATACTTTTAAGATCATTCACAAAATGTCATCTTTAAACTTTATTTCACATTGATAGAAACTGTGAAAAAGATGTACATCTTCCCATCTACAGCAAAACATTTCAACAGAATATAAGAGATTTCTTACCATAAATAAAGTAGTAACATCTCGTTGATTTTCATATCAACTAAAACATTTTATGTTCTTCATAATAAAGAAAAGTGATTCAGTAAATGATTGTTTTAAATTTTTAAGCCCAGACCTTAAACTTATGGTTTCATTATTAACATTCCATACAGTACATTGCTAAATTATATCCATTATGTGTCAATTAGCACCTATTTAATAAAGATGCACTGATAACATAGTAATACAACAGAACAATTACTAACAGTTCTAAAACCCCAAGCATACTTTTCTGCTATGTCTTAAAGTATTCTAATAACAGAATGCTTAGTTATAGGGTTCTGACTAGTTATACAACCCTATTGGTTCATTAACAAATTTGCCTCTCAGTAATTTTCGAGTGATCGGAGACTTTTGTCTGTATAAAAATCAATTTTTTTATGTTTGCACAAAAATTAATTCTAAAAAGGCATTTCAAAAAGTCAGAATCTCACATTGCTCAACTGACAACCCTCCCCCTCCCCCCCCAAAAAGCAAATTCTGGTGATGGCTAATGAATCTTCCACAGTGCTTGGTTTAGAATATATCTATAAAACAAGTAACCTCAAATCCAAATACACTAATCTACTGAAACTCAAGCATTCCTATGTCCATGACAGGAAAATAATTGAAACTAAACATCTACTCATGTTCATAACAAATATGAGTTATCATTAACTTGAAGGTCATCAAAGAATTTTCAGAATTGGAACCTGATGATTATATGTTCCAGGACATGGAGGTATGAATAAAAGGTCCTCAGTAATTTTTCTCTATTGAGTTTTCTTAAAGGTAAACTCCTCGGATATGTAAGAAACTTGCTCTAACAAGGCAAACCATTACTTTGACAAAGGAAAATAAATTATTTCCACTCCATTATAGTCTCAAATAAACAGAGTAAAGGAAATTCTTTAGGACCAAAATTCAGGAAGTATTTAAACTACTTGATGTAGAATAACAACAAATATTTTTTCAGCTGATTACACCAAAATAAAATCTTGAAATTACTCTTATTAATGAACCTGTAAATTTTATTGAACTAAATGGATCTTAGCTTGCATTAATATACAATTTAAGAAGTAAGCAATTTTGAAAGTTAAAAGAGATGTCTAATTTCTTCCTATTAAATAAATGTATTTTATATACCATATGTCTGGATCAGGGTATCAATTCATAGCAACATATTAACACCAGATAGCCATGGTATGAAGAAAATATTTGGTCTGCTAGGAGGGATTATATAGGAAGAATGAATTTCATGATCAGAGAGGAAACATGAGACAGAAACAATTTTTGAACAAAGGTAACAGAGCCTGGTCCCTAAATATAAGGGCCATTAAGATGGAAGAACACAATATTACTTACACATTGACAATTAAAAACATTATCCCATATTCTCAGAGATAATGTAATACCACCTCGTTCCTATTATGGGTTACACACACATATATATGAATACATATATAAAAATATAGAAGATGCATGGTGACAAAGCATTTTTGGAGCAAATCCTTATACTAAGTCACAGCACGCATAAAGTGATTATAACTGCTCATTTATACCTGAACAAATTTTCATTAAGCATACTAACACCTTTTTTAAAATGATTTAATCAAAGTCAGAGTGCAGTGTTTTATCTTAGTATGCTGAATTACATTTGGATAAAACCCAGCTGCCTCATTTATTATAATACTTGTATATTTTATAACATATGTCATAAAATACATGTATAGAAACTTGAAAGACCATAATTTTCCCAAGAAAAGACATTATTTCATCTGTATCATTGGCATGTATCTGCACATTGCTAGTAACACTGCAATAGTAGAAGTAAAGTTTCAGGACTGGGCATGTGAAAAGGTTTATTCTCGACTACAATGATGCTGGTGTACTTCTATAGAAGGCTTCTTACATCTTGTCAGTCAACTGGAGGTAGGAGTTTATCAACGAAGTGCTTGACATCCAACATTTCCTGTTGAGAATAAAATGGTTTATTAAGCAAACAAGTATGTAAATTTCAGAAAAAAATTCCAACTAACAAGTATGCATGAAATGTCACCAGTAGCGTTGAAAAAAAAAATCATACTACCTAAGTGGTTACACTAAATCTTTAGTTTTCTTAGCCCCATACTATAGAAATGAAGGTTCCCCATAAACTATATTCAAATTCTTTCATTTCCATCTAGTTGGATATTATTTTATATTTTTCTACCATACCTAAAGCCCCTTCCTACTTAGTAAGAAATGCCAATGCTTATGCTATCATATTCAGTGGTCAACTGGACAGTAAGTATATTAGAGAAGGATGTATGTTTTTCATAATATACAGAAGAATACACTAATAAAGAATAAAACCATGGTAACTTTCGATTTAACAAAAATTCATTGAAAGCTTTCCCAAAGGGGCAGCTAGGTAGAGCACTGGCCCTGAAGACACATAACACTTACTAGCTGTGTGACTCTGGGCAAGTCACTTAACCACAATTGCCTTATCAAAAAAAAAAAAAGAAAGCAAAAAAAGAAAGCCTTCCCAAGTCTATAAAAGTCAAATGAAAATAAGTGCTGGAAGCCATTCTTATCTTTTTTAAAATGATTACCTCAAGAGAAAAAAAAAATTTACGGTTCACAGACCAGTAAAAACAGTATTTACCTGGTTACACGAACTGTGCATCATGCCTTCATAGGTACGGAAGCTCACATTAGATGGATTTACCAATGTTTTTAGCTTTTCAACAGTGAGAGAACCAAACATGTGGGGAACCAAAGGGTCACAGTCTCCATGACACTGGAGAATAGAAATATCTTTATTAACCCCACTGATGGGGCCCTGGAAAAAGACAAAAAATGTTATTTGACTCACTAAATGTTCAAATATATATGGCATCATGCCAGATATCTTTAAGATAAATACACACAAATATTAAGTATTTTATGGACTACAAGTGAAAGAAATGAAATGGGTATATTACTTTGTACACATATCATATCTAAAGTCTAAGAAACAGATCACAGATTATATCTGTGCTATTTGTTCTTAAAACTGTTTTCTTATATTCCTGTCCCAAAGGCTGTTCGCCTCTTTAAAGGCTCTAAACAAATTTAAAGGAACAACCATATGAAAGAATGTTTCAAATCACTAATATAAGAGAAATACAAATCAAAACAACTCTTAGGTTTTATCTCATACAGAACAATCTGCAACAGATGACAAAGGACAGGAAGAGTAATACTGGAAGGGCTATGGAAAGTAGACACATAAAGCACTGATGAGTTGTGAATTGGTCCAACCACTCCAGAAACCAATTTGGAATTATTCCAAGAAAATAACTAAAATGTCTATACCCTCTTCACCCAAAGAGGCAATTACTAGTCACATATATAAAGGACGTCAGTGATTAAAGAAAAAAAAGGTGTCCTATACACCAATATATTTATAGCAGTGCTTTTTGTAATGGCAAAGAACTGGAAACAAAATAGACGCTTCTCAGCTGGAAAATGGCTAAACAAGTTGTGGTACATAAATATAATGGAATATTGTTGTAACATAAGAAACAATGAATATGGTAAATACACAGAAGGATGGGAAGAATTCTATGACCTGATACAAAGTAAGCAGAACCAGAAAAAAAATGTGTGTATAACCACACACACACACACACACACGTTATGTATGTATGTGTATATAAATAACTATAGCAATGTAAATGGAAAGAACATCAAAACAACTGGAGCTGAACACCTCAAAATTAATAATGAAGTTGGCCACAAAGAACAGATATGAGAAAGTATCTCTTTCCCTTCCTCACACAGAGATGTCAAATGATTTTGATGGGTTGGCTACTTTTGTTGAAGTATTTTTTTATTCTCTTACTTAGTCTTTGCTTTAAAGGATGGCAGTCTGACAGGGGCAAGGTAATGCATGAAAAAGCATTTAAGTTAAAAACAAAATATTAATACAAATTTAATATTTTTAAAAAGGAAAAGGAAAACTTCAGAAAATTTATCAATGCAGTGACCAATCATAACTTCAAAAGACTGATGATGAAGCACACCTCCCACCTCTCAGCACAGCAGTGGTGCATTAGATGTGAAAAATAATGCATACATTTTTTAAAAATTGGCTAAAGTGCTGATTTGTTTCTCTATACTGATTTTTTACATGGGAATGATGTAGTGGGTCTAGGAATGGGAAGGTCAGTGGTAGACAGCAACATGCAAAAGTGCTTAAATAAAATGTTTATAAAAAATACTTTTAAAACCATTAAATTTGAAAGCAAAGCAAATACAGATACGAGTCATTCTTCTGTCAGGAATCAAGTAATTAAGGCAACACTAAGAATTTTACTTAGCCAAGACAAGCCTCTGTTGTCTCTTGTTCTCCCTATAATCATGATCACCACAGGACTTTTGTTATCTTCCTAATCACTCTTTCAGTTTCCAATTTCTCCCCACTTTCATCTAATTTATCCTTCATGTCACCATCAAATCAATCTTACTTATGCAGAGATTTGTTCAATTCGTTCATCTACTCAAAATTCTTCAATAGCTCACCAAAATCTAATGGATAAAAGTTATGAGGGAAGAAAGACAATGAACTCAGTGAAATGGTCTACCTCAAGAGATAGTGAGTTTCCTTCTCACTGGAGGACTTGTCTTCAATCTGTGGCTTGATGAGCATTTGGCAAGCAGATTATAGTAGAAATTCTTTTAGATATGAGTTTGACTGAATCAGGGATGAGCAAACTATGGCCCACTAACATAGGCTGCAAATGAAAAATGGTTTTTACATTGTAAAAGTTCTATTAATTTAAAATTTTATTTTAAGTAAAGTTTCATTGTATTAAAAAATGTAAAAACCATTCTTAGCTCTCTGACCAACAAATATAAGTAGCAGAGCGATTTGGCCCATGGGCCATAGTTTGCCAGCCCCTACACTAGATGGTAATTGGAGTTCCTTGTAATTCTCACATTCTGCGATTCTGAGCTTACCTTTTCAAGTATGGTTATTGTTTATTCTTGGTTATATATTTTAATTTTGTTGAAGACTACCAATTTAGATTAAGTTTAAAAAAAAACAAGCTTTTATTTCAGTAAGACGACACACTATAGATAACCCCAGCACTCAAGTATGGTGTTCTACCACAATGTACACTTACACGCTAATAATAAAATGCAAAATTAGAGGAAAATCCTTAAGGATACTAGTGGCCCTCTTACTAGCATTACATATGTAATAATTTCATATGTCAGTTATATTTATCAAACATATTACCTGTGGAAATGAAGATCGAAGTGGAAGCCAACAGCTGAGGGCTATAACACCAGCCAATTTTTGCTGTGATGTAAGAGCAGTATACAAAGACAAAGCTCCTCCCTGTACAAAAGAAGATGTCAAAATTAGTGCAAGTTGAACCTAAGTTCTGCTGGCTATCAGCTTTAAAGGAATTTTTTCTTTATAAGCTATGTCTCTCCATACGCAATGCCAAATAACTGATTTCATCAACAAAATCAAAACTGCAAGGATAGCTGTGCATACACTACTATATTTCTAAATAATGCAATAATGTTCCTTTCATAAAGTAACAACATATTGGTTAACAGATAAATTAATATTTCACATTATAATGAACTTCTTCACCTGAAAAGTACTTGCGATTAAAGAATTAAAAAACAGTAAAATCTCACACACTCAAACACTAATTCTGAACCTATGGATTTAGAAATAGTATATATCGGGACAGCTAGGTGGCGCAGTGGATAGAGCACCTGCCCTGAAGTCAGGAGGACCTGACTTCAAATCTGGCCTCAGACCAAACACTTGACACTTAACTACATGTGTGACCCTGGGCAAGTCACTTAACCCCAATTGCCTACCAAAAAAAAAAAAAAGAAATAGTATATATCAGGGCAACCAGATGGTGCAGTGGACAGAACACTGGCCCTGGAGTCAGGGGGACCTGAGTTCAAATCCGGCCTCAAACAGATGATACTCACTAGCTGTGTGACCCTGGGCAAGTCACTTAACCCCACTGCCTTGCCAAAAACAAAACAAAACAAAACAAAATAGAAATAGTATATATGATTCTCATTGGGTAAAAGTTGAAAATCATTTCCTCATCTGAAAATTTCCACTATCTTACTCATGAAATAAAGAATGTAGTTTAAAAGACATGTAATTTTTGAAACTGAGGACTCAAGAAATAAAAGGATTCTTTCAAGGCTGTCTTCAATGTCTGGCTCTAACAATTAATTCTTACATATTTATGATATGGGATTACATAATGAAAATCTATAAATTCTAACAAACTTACTACCCATTTGTACTTGGTTACATTATATGCTGTACTGAAATAGAAAGATATTTCTTCTCAAATATTCAATAATTCATACTAGTCTTACCATTAAATTTCTACAGTCTCAACATATATACACACAAATACATATACACACATATATGCTCATATTAAATGTAATCCCTTGGAAATTAAAAGTTGGCTTCCAATATAAACATAATAAAATTTAAAATCTAAGTTATATGTTTTTCAAAAGAAAATTTTATAAAAAAGAAACTATCATTTTTAAAAGCACTAATTACTACTTTCTTTATTCAGACAGTAAATCATCCAAAAAAGCTAATGTAATCTTAAACCATTTTAACAGAATGAAAAATGATGGAATCTGGAATGAGCAACATTAAAGTTTTATAGCAGAATGTCATAGTCAGATCGCACCTGCAGTACTGGATTGGAACCTAAGAACTAGTTGTATTTTAAGAGAGTGACAAGCTGTCTTTCATTAATAGGAAAGTGGCCTAGACTTAATGTGACTCCTTTTGTTTTCTCTGATCTCTGAACTGAAAAGGACAGAACAAAAATGGCTAATAGGGAGTTAATAAACAAGAATTGTGGGGAAAAGAATAAGAATCAAAATGACTTATCTTGCAATGTACTGAAACTACTAATAGATGTGACTGCTGAGCTACCATGAACTCTGAAATACTGGGAAGAATATGGAAGTGACTACAAGAATGAAGAATAAATGTTACCCCAATTTTCTCAAAACAAGAGAATAGTGATTACAATCTAAAATCCAGTGAATTTGACTTTTATTCCTGCTTACTTTCTAGATTATTAGAATAGTTAAGGAGCATGTAGAAAAGAAAACAGTCATTATGTAGAGAACTCAAACAGTATCATCAAAAAAGGTCTTGCTAGGTTAATCCCACCTCTTTTTTTTTCTTTTTAACAGTTTAATAGATTTGTAGATCAGGAGAATGTTGTAAATATAGCTTACCTACGTCTTAGCAAAACATTTCACATAGTAGGTGATCTGAAACTAGCTGAATGGCTACACTGAAAGAGTATTAATAATAGGCTGATGTCAATTCTAATAGATGGCCACAGGGATCTGTGTTTGGCCTTGTGCAGTTTTCATGTTTTTAGCAATAACTTCAATAGAGGCATGGAATGTACATTGATCCACTTTGCAGTTAGTACAAAGACAGGAAGAATAACTCAGCATTGTGATATGGAGGCCAAAAGGCTAATGAAATCTTGGAAAATGCTGAGAGGAAGATACCCCTGTATTCTCTGCTCTGCTGTTTTTCAGTCATTTCCAACTCTTCATGACCCTATTTGGGTTTTCTTGTCAAAGATACTAGAGTGGTTTGCCATTTCCTTCTTCAGCTAATTTTACAGATAAGGAAACAGAGGCAAACACAGGGTTAAGTGGCTTCCTCAGGGTCACACAGCTAGTAAGTGTGTCTGAGGCCAGATCTGAACTCAGGAAGATGAGTCTTCCTGACTCGAGGCCTGGCACTCTAGCCACTGAGCCACATAGCTGTCCTTGAGCAAAACAGTCCCTATATAACTTACGATATATACATATATTACCCAGGATCATAAAACAAATGTTTGAGGCAAGACTAAAGCAACTAGAATAAAGAAGCACTGTCAACCGGGAGAAATGTCTTTATATCAAATCTCCAATGAAGGTCTGGACACCTAAGCTATAAAGATGACTAAAACAAATATGTAAGATCAAAAGCAATTCTCCAACAGAAAATTAAAAGATATGAATAGTTTTCAAAAGAATTGCAAACTACTAATAATCATGAAAGAATATTCCAAATCACTAATAAGAGAAATGCAGATCAAAACTTCTCACGCCTAGCAAAGTGGAAAAGATGACAAAATCTGTTTCTTCTTTCACAACATGACTGTGGAAAAATGTTTAACATGACTACACATGCATAACCTATATCAGATTGTTTGCCACCTTGGGGAGAACTGAGGGGAGGCAGGAAAATCTGGAACTCAAAATCTTACAAAAAGGAGTGCTGAAAACTATCTGTACACGTAGTTGGAAAAAAAAGAAAATAACTACAAAAAAAATTTTTAAAGAAAAACAAAAGAAAAGATGACAAAAGCTGTGTGACCCTGGGCAAGTCACCTAACCCCAACTGCCTAAAAACAAAACAAAATTTAAAAAAAGAGAAGATGACAAAAGACTGGAATGTTCAATGTTGGAGTTACTGTCTTAAAACAGGCACAGTAATATGCTGTTAGTTGAGCTATAAACTGGACCAACCCATTATGGAAACCAACTTGAAATTACACAGAGAAAATGATCCTACTGGTCAGTTCCTCTAAAAACCTCCATTTTGAGGTTGGGCCCCAGTCAGTCATCCCTCATTTTTCATACTTTGCAGACTGTCCTCCTTTCCATATCCCCTATAATAGCTTCAGCTATCTTCTCACTCCACCCCTGCAGTGGCCCTTCTCCCATTGGTGAGTTCCTTTGAAAACCTCTACTTTAGAAAGCACTCTGACCAGCCATACTTCACTGTTTGTGTCTTCTCACTGCACCTCTGGGGCAATTATCTCCTACTGGTGGCTTCCTCCATAAATCTCTATTTTAAGGAAGTACCCCAACCAACTATTCTTCACTCTCAGGACATAATGGGTATCTTTCTCCCCCACTTTGTTTATCAGCTCATTTTCATCTATTGTCTTTTCCCCATTACAATGTAAGCTCCTGGAGGGCAAGGACAATCTTTCTGCTTATATTTGTATCCTCAGCACAGTGCCTGGTACACAATAAGTGCTTAATAAATGCTTGTTGACTTGACAATGAATAAGGAGGAACACAGAAAAGTTCACACAAATTGATGCAAAGTGAAGCTGAACCAGGATGATAATTATGTACAACAGTAACAATATAAATGGAAAGAACAAAATAATCAAAAGCAAATGCTGTAAAATTATGATGACCAGTTCTCCCAAAAGAAAGCTATAAGACACTTCCTCCTGTGTCTTTGTAGAGGTGGTGGACCATCAAAATGGAACACTGCATATAATATCAGTTAACATCATATAACATATTTTAGTTTTCCTGAACTTTGTTTTGCCTTTCTCTTCTTTTATTCTTTACAAGGAAGATTGGCTCTCTAGGAGAGGAATATGGTGATTAATGTAGGTTACATAAAAACAAAAGATATTAGTGAGAATTTTTTTTTAAAGAAAGTGAATAATAAGTATTGATAATTATATGTTGTCAGACAACAATATTGTTTGGTTTTAATTATTTTTCTTTCCTATGGAAAGAGGGGTTCTACACTGGGGGGCACAGGTATCAAGTGACAAAGACATGAAAAACAAAATTTCCACAACATTTTTTAAAATATTAAGTAATGGGCTTAGTTCTCCCTTCCATATTTCCTGAAAAAGAAAGACAACTAGGAGTCAAGAAAAGGTTACATAGATGACCTCCCTCAGAATAGCCACTAACAAGAATTTTATCCCTTTATTCCTGGCACATTAACTTCAAAGCCTTTAAATTTTTATATCAGGCAAAGACTACAGTGTACAAAACACAAAGGGTATCAAAAAAACGTAAACAGAAAATCAGCTCTTCACAGTTTATTCAAAGTCCAAATGAATATTAAAACAAAGACTGTCAACTAAGATACTATAACATTCCCCGATAAGGATTAAGAAATGGATTCAACAAGAGTTAAAACCACAGATTTTCATGTAATGGTAAAGGCCCTTCCCAATTTGTACCTTACCTGAGAAAATCCTCCCAAAACAATCCTATGAGATGGAATTCCATTCTTCACTTCTTGATCTATTAAAGCCTTAACTGTAAATAAAAGAGTTCATTAACAAAATTTCCAAATTTAATTCTAATATAATTTAAGGCTGATAAACAAGCGTTGGCAAAGTGTAAATAGGGTTTTCCCCCAAAATGCACATTTTATTGTTGCCTTAAGAGCCCACCAGAAATATTAATGAGTGCTAACAATTATTTCAAATTTTTTAAAAAATTAAATATTTTAAAGGCAAAATCTAAACTGTGCCCAACTGCCATAATTTAAAATAGGGGAACATCTTATGTACTGCTAAAGTCCTACTCTTTTTATGTTATACAGGTACACTGGATTGTTGAAAATAATTTATGTTTTGGAAGGGAAACTCTGGTACGTGTTTGTCATACAAATACCACCCTAATTGTTTAAAAAGACCAATTAATAGAGGGCGACTAGAGGATGATTTATTTTTCAATCAAAGCAAAAGCAAACCCAAAGACTAATAAGCTGTACTTAAGACCCCAACAACAAAATTACTGATATTTTAAAGTTATATATTTTTATAAAGTTGTATATATTTTAAAGTTACATAAAAATAAAACACAATTTTCTTAGTTCCTTATGGCTGATAAACACTGGTTCCTACTACCCTTCTCTGAAACTCAAGCAACTAAAATTTCAGGGAATATTTTCAAAGTCATCTTCATGCTGATAACTTCTCAGGTGCTAGTTACCTCTTATAATTTATGGGATGCTGATACTTATTTTATTAAACATAATAACAAAGCAGTAATTCTTCCTGAGCAATAAGGTAATTTACATAAAAATCAAGCATGGACTTTTTCATTTCTGTAAAATTTGTGTTTGTTTTCAACACTAGCCATCTCTTTCATGAAGAATTACCCTCGAATAGCTGCATCAGTCAAATGATCTAGCAGTTCCTTCCCACACAATTTGGGGTCTCCCTTTCTAAACCTAGAATATACTGCCATCCAATAATTCATCTCTGATTCTATTCTTGGAGTATTTTTGATGGAAGAAGGGCAGAAGGGGTGTCCTATGGTCTTCTTTATTTTAATCTCCCTGAACCCCAGGGAGTACCCTTTTCAATTTCTCTGAACTTTTTGGACACCACTGGAACCATCACCAATTGCCTTTTGGACACACTGGTACCCAACTCCCACTGATCAGGAAGTGGAAAGAAAGGAAAAGGAAACCTCTAACACTAAGAGGGCAGGGGTGAGGGACTGGTGAAGAGAAAAAGATTTAAGTAGGAAGATGCATGCAGTCAGTTCTGCTATAATGTGTTTCAAAAATTAAATTTGGGGGGCAGCTAGGTGGCGCAGTGGATAGAGCAGCAGCCCTGAAGTCAGGAAGACCTGAGTTCAAATCCGGCCTCAGACCAAACACTTGACACATACTAGCTGTGTGACCTTGGGCAAATCACTTAATCCCAATTGCCTCACTTAAAAAAAAAATTAAATTTGTTCCAGTGGGATCAATATATAAGGAAACATTCTGAGTAATAATGCCCCTTCTGATTTCCACTTCTACAAGCAAACTTCAGGTCTCTGTAAAGGTAAAGTGTCTTTTTTTATTTTTTAAATAGTCCCTGCCCTCAAGGAGCCTATAGTTTATTTCTGTAAAATACTATGAACATAGCTAAGTCAATACAAAATACACAACACATTAAATACAAAGTAATATGCAAATATGCATAGTTTATATATGTACATGGTTAAAAAACAAAAAAGCACTGCAGAGGTGTGGAGAAGCCATGATAGCTATAAAGACGGGGTACAATACAAGGACAGACCTATCCTTGAAAGGAATGAATGCTTTAGTAAGGATTGTTAAAACAGAGACTGATTAGGGAATAAGGTTTCCCCCAGCCCAATGGTCCCCAATTTAAGCTTTTACAATAGGTACAAGTAGGCTTTCTTTTTTTGTTCTTTTTTAAACACTATTTTATTTTTTTCCAATTGCATGTAAAGAAAGTTTGCAACATTCACTTTTATAAGATTCCAAGTTCCAAACTTTTTTTTTCCAGGTGAGGCAACTGGGGTTAAGTGATTTGCCCAAGGTCACAAAGCTAGTAAGTGTCAAGTGTCTGAGACTGGATTTGAACTCAGATGTCCTCCTGACTCCAGGGCTGGTACCCTATCCACTGCACCACCTAGCTGCCCCTCCAAACTTTTCTCTTCCTCCCTTCCTCCCCTCCTCTCTCCCCAAGATGGCAAGCAATCTGATATTGGTTATACATGTACAATCATATTAAACATATTTCCACATTAATCATGTTGTGAAAGAAGAATCAGAACAAAAGGGAAAAACCAAGAGAAAGAAAAAAAATAAAAAAAGGTAAAAATTGTATGCTTTGATCTGCATTCACACTCCATAGTTCTTTCTCTGGATGTGGATAGCATTTTCCTTTAACAAATAAAGTTTAATTTCTTTTCCTATGTCAAACTGGTCATCTACAGGTTTCTTTTTAACACGGGAAAAAAAGTTTTCTCCAGGAGTAGGAAATGGGGGCCTTGAGGACACATGTGGTCCTCTAAGTCCTCAAGTGAATTTGACTGAATCCAAACTTCACAGAACAAATCCTATTATTAAGGGGATTTGTTCTGTGAAGTTTGGATTCAGTCAAAGGGCCCCATATGAGGACCTAGAGGTCCACATGTATCCTCAAGGATGCAGGTTCCCCACCATTACCTAGGCTATGCACCCTAATTACAGTTTGTTCATTTTCTGATACTTATTTTAATTCTTACATGTAAGATAATAGCAAAAATCACGAGCACAATAATCAGGGCCAAGTAGCACTCTACCGCTGGTCAGGTATAGCAAAAGGTGACTGACTTTGGAGAGAGCAGGCCCTGGTAGTAAGGAAGCACCAAGCAGGAGGTTCAAGACAAATCAACTTAACAAATACTTATGAAAGATATACTGTGTGTAAAGCACTGTGACAAATTTCTGTCCTCAAGGTACTTTTTTTAAAAAATTAACTAACTGATTTTAGTTTTCAACATTCATTTCCACAAGATTTTGAGTTCCAAATTTTCTCCCCATCTCCCCCCTCCCCAAGATGGCATGCATTCTGAACACCCCCTCCCCCTTTTCTCATCTCCCCTTCCCCTTCTATTTTCCTATAGAGCAGGATAAATTTCTATACCCCACCGCCTATTTATCTTGTTTCCCAGGTGCATGTAAAAACAATTTGTTTTTAACATTTGTTTTTAAAGCTTTGGGTTCCAAATTCTCTCCCTTCCCACCCACACTCATTGAGATGGCAAGCAACTCGATACAAGTTATAGACATGTAGTCATGCAAAACACTTCAAAAACAGTCACATTGTGAAAAACTAACTATATTTCCCTTCATCCTATCCCATCCCCATTTATTCTATTCTCTCTTTCGACCCTGTCCCTTCTCAGAAGGGTTTGTGTCTAATTACTCCCTCCCCCAATCTGCTCCCCTTTCTATCATCCCCCTTGCTCTCTCATCCCTTCCCCCCCTCATTTTCCTATAAGGTAAGATAGATCTCCATACCCAAGTGAGTGTGTATGTCATTCCCTCCTCAAGCCAAATAAGATTCACTCATTTCCTCTCACCTTCTCCCTCCACTGTAAAAGCTTTTTCTTCTGTTTTACGTGAGATAATTTACCCCATTCTACCTCCCCCTTTCTCCTTCTCCCAGTATAATCCTCCCTCACCCCTTAATTTTGTTCTCCAGATATCACCCCTTCCTCTTCAACTCACCCTATACCCTCTATCTATCTATATGTACGTATTTTTTTTTTCTCTCTCCAACTACCCTAATACTGACAAAGGTCTCATGAGTTACAACTATCATCTTTCCATGCAGGAATGTAAACAGTTCAACCTTAATAAGTCCCTTTTGATTTCTCTTTCTTATTTAATTCTTCATGCTTCTCTTAAGTCTTGTATTTGAAAGTCAGATTTTTCTATTTGGCTCTGGTCTTTTCATCAAGAATGCTTCAAAGTCCTCTATTTCACTGAATGTCCATTTTTTCTCCTGAAGGATTATACTCAGTTTTTCTGGGTAGGTGATTCTTGGCTGTAATCCTATCTCCTTTGCCCTCCAGAATATCATATTCCAAGCCCTTTGGTCCCTTAATGTAGAAGCTGCTAAATCTTATGTTATCCTGATTGTGTTTTCACAATACTTGAACTGTTTGTTTCTTTCTGGCTGCTTGCAATATTTTCTCCTTCACCTGGGAACTCTGGAATTTGGCTACAATATTCCTAGAGGTTTTCCTTTGGGGATCTCTTTCAGGAGGTGATCAGTGGATTCTTTCAATTTCTATTTTACCCTCTGGTTCTAAAACATCAGGGCAGTTTTCCTTTTTTTGATCATGGCTTTCAGATAGTCGAATAATTTTTAAATTATCTCTCCTGGATCTATTTTCCAGGTCAGTTCTTTTACCAATAAGATATGTCACATTGTCTTCTATTTTTTCATTCTTTTGGTTTTATTTTATAGTCTCTTCATTTCTCATAAAATCATTAGCTTCCATTTGATCAATTCTAATTTTTAAGGAAGTATTTTCTTCAGTGAGCTTTTGGACCTCCTTTTCCATCTGGTCAATTCTGCTTCTTAAGGCATTCTTCTCCTCACTGGCTTTTTGGACCTCTTTTGCCATTTGGGTTAGGCTATTTTTTAAGATATTATTTTCTTCAGTATTTTTTGGGGTCTCCTTTAGCAAACTGTTGACTTGTTTTGCATGATTTTCCCGCATCACTCTCATTTCTCTCCCCAGTTTTTCCTCTACTTCTCTTACTTGCTTCTCAAAATACTTTTTGAGCTCTTCCATGACCTGGGACTGATTCATATTTTTCTTGGAGACTTTGGATGTTAGGAGCTTTGACTTCATTGTCTTCTTCTATTGTATGTTTTGATCTCCTTTGTCACCAAAGTAAGATTCTATGGTCTGGTTTTTTGGGGGATTTTTTGCGCTATTTGCTCATGTTCCTATTAAACTCTTTGTTAAGGTAGGGGGTCTTCTTCCAGTGTGGAGAATGTACCATCCCAAGCTTCAGGGGGTTTGTACAGCTGTTTTCAGAGATACTTCTAGGGATATGTAAGTTTTCAGTTCTTCCAAGGTGGTGTGTTTTACTCCTTTCCTGGCCTGTGCTCTGGTCTATGAGTAACCATAAGCACTCTTTTCTGCCTTGGAACTGTGAGGAGGATTCGCTCTGTACTGCTACCACAAGCTCTACCATGCCAACGCTTCTCCTCACCCTAGGACCGCCACCCAGGACTACAACCCAGATTTAAGCACAGGCAAAGCAACAGAATCCTGCCTCAGCGCCAGCAAAGAGATCCCTGCAATCCCCCTCTGATCAGCCACTCAGTCCCCCCTTTGTCTGTAGGCCAAGAGCTCTGGAAGCAGCCGCTGCCCCAAACTGGGGCCAGACCGGGCTCCTCTCTCACCACGGTCCGACAGACCTGTCCTAATGACCTTCTAAGTTGTCTCTGGCATGATTCAGTCCCCTGAGGCCTGCTCCATGTTTGCTGAGGCCTGGTCTTTGGAAGCACACCCACACTGAACCGTGCTCCTCTCCCAGCCTGGCACAAGAGACTTTTCCAATCAACTAGCACTAGAAATTTGTTTCATTCTGTCTTTTTGTGGATTCTGCTGCTCTAGAATTTGTTTAGAGCTGTTTTTTTTTTTACAGGTATTTACAGGAGTTTGAGGGAGAGCTCAAGCAAGTCACTGCTTTTACTCTGCCATCTTGGCTACACCCCCCCCCCCACCCAAGGCACTTGTTGATGGCTTCACTTACTGGTTGGGATCTGGGTGGGCTTTGAAGGACAGGACAGCATAATGCCAGCCAAGGATTTACATTTGTTTTTCCTACAGTATCAGAGCCTTAATTTCATCTTGACTACTACTTAAATGAAAAGATTCAAGATCACTGTCACAGACAGATTTCAAAATGAGCTTCACACAGGGTCTAGTAAAGATTCAGAAAAGAATTCCAGTCTCTGCACTTCAACATTAAATGTGGGATAATCTGTCCTACAAATCATCCTACCTGTCTTTCTTGTGGGGGGGGGGAGAATGTGCAGAACTGTGATTTTATCAGTGTGTAAAACTACTTCTACTATACCACTTCTGGTTTCAGAGAGTTAACTGGAGGCAGTGAGACATTAAATGACTTACCCATGATCACACAGTCTGTGCATGTGGCATTATTACAACGCATGTCTTATCTAAGGCCACTTCTTTATCCATTATATTATGTAGATCCATCTCTAGTATCTGTTAGACCTTTAAACACACTCAAGTACTATTATTTCAATTAATTCTGAAGATCTGACTAAAAGCACTCATATTTGATAAAATATCTTGGGCAGCTAGGTGACACAATGGATAGAGTACTGGCCCTGGAGTCAGGAGGGCTTTAGTTCAAATTCAGCCTCAGACGTGATATTTACTAGCTGTTTGACCCAAAACAAGTTACTTAACCCCAACTGCCTCACCAAAGAAAAAAAACTTAATCACAGAAGTTTATCTTATGGACTTTCAATGTAATAAATATCAATCAAAAAACCCAACTTACACCCAGAGAAATAAATTTTCCTTTTGGTCAGACTGTTATAGCCTCCTTACAATCAAGTTCTTATGTCCCCAAAAAGCAAGACAAGGCAAATTATATCATCAATACTTTGAAATGAATAATTTTGGCACGTAACTCATTCAACAATTTAATGATATCATATGCTATTATATTTAGATGAATATTTCCAACTTTAAATTTTTGGCTTCAAGATAAGTTTCTGATTAATTTTTTAAATAGTGTTGCAAGTTAACACACCAGACTATCCAATATCCTCTCAAGATTCACTGATTTAAAGGATTTTAATAGGCCATTAAAAAAAATCTCAACCAGTGCCATTGTTTTATTTTTTAAAATGTTTATTTCTTCTTGTTTTCCGCATGTTTTTACTCTACATAACCTGACAATCATTTCTCCTCAACAAAAGTACTCTGTACTAAAATTCAGAGTCTCTAAGATTGGAAGTGTTGTTGGAAATACAATAAAGGTAGATGTGAATATAAAGCATGCAAATGGGAAGAGCACCATTCCCTTTTTAAGCCCAATTAACTCATATAATTTTTGTTACTGAAAACTCAAGTTACTAAATTTGAAACTTATCTCAAAATCCAATGCTAATTCTTTCTAAAGGAGAGGAATCGTAAACTGGAGCCTGTAAACTTTTTTTTAAAAATATTTTTATAACTATACACTTCAATATAATTCCCTTTGTAATCCTTTGTATTTTATTTTATTCATTTAAAACCATCATTCTGAGTCCACATACTTTACCAGGCAGCCAAAGTGGCTCAGGATTCCACGACACAAAAAAAGTTAAGAAACTCTGTTCTAGAGGGCTTTCCTGATTCACTCAATTGTTACAGACACCTAATTATCACTGGTGGCTTTTTTTCCTATAAACATTTGTATTTATTTATTTATGCGTTTATTTTTCTATAAACATACTGTATCCACAGAATGTGAGCTCCTTAGGAAAAGGATTACTTCAATTTTATATTTGTATTGCCAGAGCCCAGCACATTTAATACGTGTGTTTATTTTAAATGATACAATATATTTATGAACTTACTATTTTCTGCAGCTTGTTTTATTCCATGTTCATCCTCCTGCGAGTCAGGAGAGAGTCCAATAATATCAAACCTAAAAAATAGTATTTACCATTAATAAATATAGAAATATTATTAAATTTTAGAAGGTCTATACTCATTAAATATACTATACCAAACTTATGGTGGACAACAGCTGACAAAATAGAGACATGATATACATCTTAGATACTAAAGATATGCCCAGTAATAATGAGAGAAATACAGATCTTTGGAGCCTGAAGGGACCTTAAAAGATCCTCATGTAGTTCAACCACCTTATTTTGCAGATGAGTAAAATGTCCCTAATAGATTAAGTAATTTGTTCAAGGTAATACGGCTAGTTAGTGGCATAGCAAGGACTAAACTCCAGAGGCTGTCAAACTCTCTAATTCAAAGTTCTTTAAATCACTACAAAATATTTCTTTGCTATTTATCTATCCCAAAGAAAGTGACTCTCTAGCAACCTCTCCAGTTTCCTGAACAATCTAATCCCATGTGCTCAATCTGAAAAGTGATAATTATGGGAATTCTTATGTTACTTTATTTCCTTTAATGAAGTATTTCATCATTAAAAAAAACAATTAAATAAATTAACAACATGAATGTGATTTTAAGTCCAGAAGCTTTTAACTGAAAGGAAAAAGTAAAATTAACTGGTAAGAACATTTTTAGAGGGAAAACTGGAATAATGTAACATTCTCTTCTAGTCAAACAACATGTCTCATTTTATATTAATAAAAGAATCACCAAATTTCTTTCTATTGTTACATCTTTCAAGCAATCTTGTATAACTAACAAATATGGGAAACACTCTGTTGGAGGACAGCTTTTTGTTTGTTGGAGGACAGAATTCTGTGTCACCAGATAAAATGCTTTTTATGCAAAAGCCAAATAATATTCAGAACAGGACTTTGTATTCCCTGGACTTTTCATTAAACTGTAAGGCTATAAATAGATGGTCTACTGTAGTATGTCATTAGTAAAAGCTTTTTTCTTCCCGTATTTTCAACAAAAATCCCCTGGAAGTGTATATGAATTATCCCCCAAAACCAACTGTAGATATAAAATACTATGTCACTAGAAACAAAAGTCTCCAACAAAATATTAACACTCACTTATGATTAAAAAGTTGTAGGCAAAAAAATGTGTCATCAAAAGAATATATTTAAAATTTAAAAATAGTATTATTTATAATAGTCAAACACAAAGTTAAACCCAAAAAGATCATAAGAACAAGAATATCCATCGTGTCCACAATAATTAAACAACAGGACAGAAAAGCTAGCTATACTACGATAAGGATAGAGGTGATTTCACTGGCATAAGGGGACACCCCAGACGAGAAAGCTCCTGCTACTAATATAAGTACCTCTGCAACTTAAGTTGCTTAAACTCAGGAAAGTGAGTTTAAGTGGTTTGCTAATAAATATAAAGGGCCTAAGTATAAGCAAACAGAAGTCTAAATCATCCCTATTTGCATATGTCAGTCTTTCTTAAAAAGCCCCAAATCAATGAAAAAAATGAGAATAGCTTTGATTATGTAGAAAATTACAAAATTAAGACCAAAAGATTCACTAGTTTTTCTCTTTATTTCAAATAAAACTCAGAAGAAAGAATTAAGAAAAAAAATACTCCAATTCATATCATAAATGTCTAGCTAATTAATCTATGAAAGGGTAGCTAAGTGGTTCAGTAGATATAGCGCAGGACTGGAATCAAATAAGACTCCCTTCCTGAGTTAAAATCTGGCCTCACACACTTAGCTGTGTGATCTTGGGCAAGTCACCCTGTTTGCCTCAGTTTCCTCATCTGTAAAATGCGCTGGAGAAAGAAATAGCAAACCACTCCAGGAAAACCACAAATGGGGTCACAAAGAGTCAGACATGACTGGAAAAACAATTCAACAACAATCTACCAAAACATATAAAGGACAATAAAAATTAAAATACAAAACTATTTTTATGGAAATAAAGTATGACCTAAATAACTGGAGACAATGACTCTCCTGGGTGATACCCACCATATATGGAAAAAAATGATATTATCCAAATTATACCTCATCTTTGTCATGGATGTGTGATATCATTTATGTTCCTTCCACTGATACATCCTTTCACACCTGTCCACCCTGTGTGACTCCTGTTCACATCTTCCCATAAGTTCACCACTTGGGGAAGGTGAGTACCCTCCAGTTAGAGGCCTTTTTCAAGTTGTAAGGGCATGGGGCAGCTAGGTGGCGCGTGGACAGAGCACCGGCCCCGAAGTCAGGAGGACCTGCGTTCAAATCTGGCCTCAGACCAAACACTCAACACTTACTAGATGGGTGACCCTGGGCAAAAACAGAAAGAAAAACAATTTGTAAGGGCACCTGTGGAACCCTCTGGCCGCCCAGTGGTCATCCCCTTTTCTTGCCATTTGATCAGCCCATCTTCTCTTCCTATTGTACAACTCCTTGATGGAATTCTCTTATTCTTACGTAAAGTTCCTCAATGCTTCTACATGTTGCATACTACCCAGACCTACATGTACCTGTGCTGCCCTATTTCAGCTACTTCCTCTTTAGAAGCAGTTGTAGTCCATGTCTCACTGTGATACAGCAATAGTGTAGAATGTTATCATTTTTTTAAATGGGAAGCTTGGAGTCAGTAAGGGAGATCTGCAATCTCCTAAAATCAATCCACTCCACTCTTTCTCATTTATTAAATTCTGGGCCCAACTTGTTGCCATCTGTACTATCTGTCCCAGTAATAACAACAATAAAAGCTAACATTTATATAGCACTTACTATGTGCCAGACATTGTGTTAAGCACTTTACAAATATTATCTCGTTTGATCTTCACAACCCCATGAAGTAGGTGCTGTTATATGCCCATTTTATAGATAAGGAAGCTGAGGCAAAACAGGTTAAATGACTTGCTCAGGGTAACACAGCTAGTGCTTGAGGCCAAATTTTAACTCAGGTCTTCTGACTTCAGACCCAGCGCTTGATCCACTGTGCCACCTAGTTGCCCCAAATGCCCTCTGTCCATCAATATCCCCCTACAGACTGATGGACAAACTCTGTAACTCGTCCATACATGTTGTAATCCGGCCAACAGACATTTTTCGTCCACTTGATCTTTCCTATGTAGAGGGTGAGGCTAAATTCCTTTAAGGGAATACAGATCGCTTCCAAGGTGGTTTAACTCTGGGACTTTATGGAAACAGCACAAATATATCTAAAGGACTCCTCCATCCGCTTTTGAGCTGGATCCTGCCTGATCTCCCTCACAGTGCTAAATACTTTGACAAGCATACATCTCCTGGTTTTATACTTCACTTGATGTCTAATATTAGACAGTTGCTCGACAGTGTTATTTCTGTTATCTTCCAGGGACCCTGAATGATTTTAATGTACAGCTGAGAGACATTTTATTGCAAAAGCGCCCATAAGGAAGTGTCAAATACCAAAATAAACCCTAAAACACTAAACAAAGAGACATTAGTAGACAGGTTCTATATTTCATAATGATGCGTAGAGGGAAAGTAATAAGCACCAAGACCCTTCCAGTTACACATGTTTCTCAGTTTGACTTCATAGTCTGACCCACACTTACCCAATATATCCAATAGTTGCTTAATCTTAATGTTTCTAAATCTACATATCTCATATCAACACCCTTTATTTCCACTAACATGACCACTGCACAGTTCAGGTCCTAATCATCTGTAGCTTGGACTAGTACAACAGCCTTACTGCTGGTCTTTGCACCCCAAGTCTCTCCTCACAGCTGCCAAAGTGATTTTCCTAAAGAATAAGTCTAACCATCTCCTCTCCCCAATTCCAACTCCAGTAGCTACTCCTCTTTGACAATTCACAACCTGGCCCCAATCTGTCTTTCTAATCTTATTATATATTATTCTCCTTAATGTACACTGGAATGTAGACAAACTAGCCTTATACTCTTTCTACTCCATGATTTTGCAATAGTTATCCTCGTGCCTGGCATACACAGCATGCATACCCTCCTCACCTCTGTCTCTTAAAATTCTCAGCAAGCATCATTTTCTATGTGAAGTCTTCCTAACTGCTAGTATTTCCTTCCCCCTTCCCCTCTTAAAAAAAAAAGCATCTTTATATATGTACATGTTGTTTCTCATTTCCAGACTGTCAGCTCTTTGAGGGCAGTGTTTTTATCGTATCTCCAATGCCTAGCACACATAAGACATTCAATAAATTGAAGGGGGAAAATGAAATCATGCAGCAAGACCTCCATCAGAGCTAACTCCAGTACTCCCCCCACAGGTATTCCTATAATACTCAGTTGTGTCTGAGTCTCTTCTGGTCTGAATTCACTTGGTCCTTCTCTATTTTGAGGGAGTTATAAGGTATGAATCAACAAAAGCTCCTTCCTATCTAGTTTCAAGTCTCCATGCTGAGTACTCCAACCATGAAAAAATTCACATACCCACACCCCCCCCCATCTCTGTCTCTCTCCCCTCACTCCCCATTTGTTCCATATGGTCTGAGTAGCATTTAACCCCCAAAAGACACACACATACACAAATAAGTACACTAATCACAAAGAAATCCTACAGAAAACTGGTTTCTTTAAAACAAGTAGAAAAACAGACAATTAACCAATAAGAACTGGTAAGAGATACTCATCATCTCTCCCTAGAGTCAAAATGAGAGGGTAGAGAAGAGATAATATCAGCAGGGGATGAGAGTATAGAATTTACCGTTGTCTTCTATTAGTATGATTCAACAGATACAGCACTTTGCCTCTCTTATACTCAGTCTTGATTACTAGTCCTAATAACTTAATAAAATATCATAGCATGATTTTCTCCTAACTCCCTACAGCAACTGAAACTGCTTGGATATAGAGCTTGTGGCTGGGGCAAATGAGAGTTCTGTACAATATTTTATTAGTTTCCCTACAATTTTTTTTTAGCTGTGCGCACATACACTCTATCTCAGTGGTACTGTAGTGATCAGCAAAAATATCCCAGTACAATGGTGCAGGATTTCATATTCTCTCCAAAGTGCCCTTGTCCAACTCTTACAGCACATATTTTAGCTTTCCCCACTCCTTGAAGATGAGGGAAGGGGAGATTGCCCTTTCAAACACAGTCACAGCCCTTTAAGTCCTTGAGTCAAGACGCACTACGGATTTCTGTCCTGACCTTGAGACTTCTATCTCCAACTGCTTGATCAAAAGGGATGCAAAGTATAAAGTTAAAAAGCTTCTTTCTATACAACAAATCCAACTAAAATCAGAAGAAAAGAGAGATTAGAGAACAAAAAAACTTTGCAATAAATATTTCAATATGTCTGACATTAGAATATACAAAAAACTACCACAAACATATGTGTGTATATATTATATATACATATACACACCCACAAATGAAAGCCATTTCCCATCAGGCAAGTGGTCAAAGGATAGGAGCAATTTTAATTCAAACTCTCAATAACCACTTGAAGAATGTTCAAAATCACTATCCATCAGATGAGTACAAATTAGCCCTTAAGAAATTCACCTCAAAAGCATGAGGTAATATGTGGCCATGGGAGGATTCTTATTTTAACTGTAATGAAACATGAAATACACAGAAAGATATAAGGGTATCTCCTATCTATGTCCACCAGTCTCAGAGGTTTTCTCTTTGTTTTGCTGTGATTATGCTACCTCTTGACAAGGAAGTATTTTTATTCCCTCAGAAACTTTTCATTTCTCATCTCTTGTGAATTTTTTCTTCCACTGTGCCAAAGAATGTTTCCTCTTTGATAAGTCAGAACATGTAGAGGTATTCCTTAAGCCCTTTTATATTCTTCCTTTATAGATAATCTATAGTCTTTTTCAATTCTATTGCCATTCCCCAGCAAGATAATCTACTTGAATTTGAAAAATAAATTAGTGACTACCACAGGCAGAACAGAAACATAAAATAAACTGACGGTACTGCAATAGTGTTTGGTGGCCTTAGTTCTAGGTTGAGTAGCTTCCTTTCTCCCCAAGTCACCAGAGGAAATACCTGTTCCTAGGTCTGTTCATTCTTCTCTTAGGTCACAGTTGTGTGATCTCAGCAAAATGTACTTTTAAACCTCAACCTCATACGTTCCAAGATTAACTTGTTTATTATTAGCAAGTAGTCAACCACCTCCTCTTTAAATACACTCATACAGAACTAACACAAACTTCCAACACTATTTCTTACAAGCATTCAATCTATGTAGTAACTTGTAATTAAAACAATTCTATATATATGACACTGAACTTACCTATCTTCAACTATTTCTGATGCTATTTTGACATGACTTAAAATGTGAGTCTAAAACATGAAATTTTGCAACTTTTACTAAAAAACTGAAAAATTAAAAATAGATAACTACTCAAAACAAATCAACCCACCAAGTCTTCTGGTAGAACACTCCCTACACATTCTTTTTGCCTAGCCTTGTAATTTTATCCATAGTGTAGGGGGAATTATTAATTTTATCCATAGTGTAGGGAGAATTATCAACAATCTCAGATATGCAGCTGATAACACTCTAATGGCAGAAAGTGAAGAGGAATTAAGAAGCCTCTGGATTAAGGTAAAAAGATGACAGAATAAAAGTTGCCTTGAAGCTTATCATCCAAAACACTAAGATCTTACCAACCAGTCCCATGACTTCCTGGCAAAGAGAGGGAGAAGAAATAGAAGCAGTGTCAGATTTTGTATTCTTGGGCTCAAAGATCACTGCGCAGATAGCAACTGCAGCCATGGAATTAAAGGACACTCGGTTCTTGGAAGGAAAGCTATGGCAAATCTGGATAACATACTAAAAAGCAGAAACATCATCATCTTGCTGTATAGGTCCATAGAGTCAAAGCTATCTATGGTTTTTCCAGTAGCAATGTATGGCTCTGAGGGCTGGACTACAAGGAAAGCTGATAGCCACAGAACTGACACTCTTGAATAGTGGTGCTGAAAAAGACTTTTGAGAGTTCCTTGGATAGCATGGAGATCAAATCAGTCAAGGCTTAAAGAAATTAATTCAGGATATTCACTGGAAGGTCAAATACTGAAGCTCATGCTTAAATACTTTAGCTACATAATGAAAAGACAGGACTCATTGGAAAAGACCCTGATGTTGGGGAAAGATTGAAGGCAAAAGAAGAGGATGGCAGACAATGAGATGAAGAGATAGTGTCATGGAAACATGAACACGAACGTGGTCAAAATTTGAGAGACAGTGGAGGACAGAAGAGCCTGGAGTGCTATATAAGGTTCACAGGGTCACAAAGAGTTGGAAACAACTGAACAACTGAACTAAACAACAACAACCAGAAGGGAACTCCTGTTTAGGAACTTCGTCTATCAAGGCAAACTGGTATTTTTGTCTGCAATTTAAAGCCTTAGAGCTCCTTGGAGGACTGAGAAGTCAAGGGACTTGCCTAGAGTCACACAGCCAATACATAGGTTGTAAAAGCTGGGATTTGAACTCAGGTCTTCAAGTTCTCTAGCCACTATGTCATACTAACTAAATAATAAGCCAAGTTTATTATTAAATAACATACTTACCAAGAAGGCATAGCCATGCTCATATTTAGGGTAACAGGCATAACTGGTCTTTAATAGGGGGGAGAGGAGGGAGGAAGAAGGAAAAAAAAAACATTAAAACAAGAATTTCAACGTACCAAAGCATGAAATATTATTAATTTCATCAATTACAATTAATTACTTGAGATCTATTCTATATAATAAAGAGCCATAATTATTAATTTACATTTTGCATTTCCCCTGTCATTTCTGAGGCCTTTGTCTTTATATCTCTTAAAGACTACATCTCTTCAGCTCTACCAGGCTGGAATGCAAGAAGGCTATTCACAGGCCTGATCCTACTACTGATCAGCACAGGAGCTTGCAACCTCTGGGGTGGTTCTCCTCTCCTTAGAAAATCTGGTCCCCTCCCTAACCAACGATCACCACCACCAATGCTGAACACCCAACCAGAGGCCACTGCAGCTCAGAGATTACCAGCCTCTCCCTCCCCAGCAGTGGGGATTGCAGGCATGCAACACCCAGCCTCTTTTTTCAAATAATACTTTTTTGTTTTTAGGCAATTGGGGTTAAGTGACTTGCCCAGGGTCACACAGCTAGTGGTGTCAAGTGTTTGGTCTGAGGCCAGATTTGAACTCAGGTCCTCCTCATTTCAAGGCCGGTGCTCCATCCACTGCGCCACGTAGCTGCCCCACAAATAATACTTTTTTAAGGAAGTCTATTTGTTTATTAGTAGCAATAAAGCACAGCTTTAAAAAATGAACTTTGGAGGGAATAACATACACATTCAATTGGGTATGGAAATCTGTCTTACCGTACAGGAAAATAGGGGGAGAAGGGGACAAGAGAACGGGGCATGATAGAGAGGAGGGCAGACTGAGAAAGGGAGTAATCAGAAGAAAATACTTCTGAGGAGGGACAGGGTCAAAAGAAAGAATAGAATAAATGGGAGGGTAGGATAGGATTAAGGGAAATAGAGTTAGTTTTTCACAACATGTCTACTATGGATGTGTTTTGCATAACTGCACATGTACAACCTATATTGAGTTTCTTGCCTTTTCAATGAGGGTGGGGGGGAGAGAAAATTTGAAACCTAAAGTTTTAAAAAACATATGTTTAAAAAAATGTTTTCACATGCTACTGGGAAATAAGAAATATAGGAAATGGGGTACAGAAGTCTGTCCTGCCCTACAGGAAAATAAAAGGGGAAGGGGATAAAAGAAGGGGAGAGAGATAGAAGAGAGGTCAGACTAGGGGAAGGGATATTCAGAATGCATGACATCTTGGGGTGGGGAGAGGGGGGAGATGGGGTGAAAATTTGGAACTCAAAAACTTGTGGAAGTGAATGCTGAAAACTAAAAATAAATTTATATTAAAAAAAAGAAAACAAAAAAAACTTTGTAGAAATCTGGGAAGGTTTGTATGAACTGATAAAGAGTGAAATGTACAGAAAGAGGAAAACAATTTATTAAATGACAACATTATAAAGATAAAACTCTGATTATTACAATGTAACAGCTAGGGGGACTGATGATAAATTAAACTACCTCCTTTTTGAGAGAGGTGATGAATTCAAGGTGACAAATGAGATATATTTTTGGGGCATGGATGATGTGGGAATTTGTTTTGCTTGAGTAGGCTTATTTTTACAAGAGTTTGTTTGCTGTTGTTTTAAATGAAGGTAGGAGAGAAAATAAATATTGAATTGAAAAATAAAATGAAAAAAAAAATGAACCAGAAAAATTTCATTTGTGAATAATACTATCAATATCTGTTAGGATGGAATAAGAAAACATCAATTCTAAAAAGTACAGAAAAGTTCTTCAACACAACAGGAAATTAACTGTTATTGTAACCATTACTGAACAAAAAGATTCTAGACCCATTCATGGCACAGTATGTGATTACAAAAGAGGTAAGATACTAAAGATACAATACTAAGATCAGTACAATGCAAAGTTCATAGCACATATTTAGTGTTTAATAAATGTTTTTTTTATTTGTTCATTTAACCACACTGTGCAAAACTCCTTAATGGATCTAAATCAGGTCTTCACAGATGTTGCTCAATGGCAGGCCTGTACAACTTGGTTTTAAAGTATACTTGTACCAAAAAGGCTCAAAACTGCATAAGCACTATCACTGAATATTATTAATAAAATATCTTGTAAAGAGGAAGGGGTTTTTGTGAGTAAAACTGAAATGTGAGAGAACATTTATTTTTAGATATCTCTAAGAACTAAGATTACTATGGAAACCAATGTGTGAACAAAGCATCCTTCACTCAACAAATATTTTTCAAATATACACAAAATATAGTAAAAGTTGATTAATGCCACCTCGATAAATTCTAAATCTGGGATAATTCAGATGAAAGATGAGCTGAACTTATAAATAGCTTGCCCAACAAAATAAAAATGTAAATAATTATAGGGGACATGTTTAATATAGCTGAGAATAAATTTTCAAGCAGCTTATGGGGATATGCTATAGCTGTAAATCTTTCTTCTTTATTTTCTACCAAGTCCTCTCTAAGGACTTCTACTAAGACTAAGCATCAATGTGTTAACAACCCTTATAAACACTATATAAATGAAATAAAAATCACAAAAATTAACAGGAGCATAAATGGAAAGCTGGAAGATACCTTAGTTACTTCAACTCCCTCACCTCATTCTACAGAAGAGGAAGCCAAGACTTAGGTGAACTGACTGTTTAGGTCACAAGGGGAGTAAATGACAGAGATAAAACTTGAATCCAGGTCCTCTGTCTCTAAACCCGGTGCTCTTTCTACTACACTATGCTACCTCTCTGGATTTAGAAGTTCAAATTTGCCTTCCTTCCAAATAGTCAGGTAATAGGTTTTCTGTACAGTTCAAATCTCATTACAATGAAACACTAAGGGACTGTACAAATCCTTTGATTGTATTACTTTAAATATGTAGGTGAGCTTGACAGTAATCTTTTTGAGATACTTTGTTGTAAGAAAACTGACTTGTAAATCAAGACAAGACAAATTGTGGATATCTTTGAATTTCTGCATATTCACTCCTTAAATGCCAATGGGAGGCAAAGATATAAAGATAATTCATACATGGTCCTTGCCTTCAGGAAGCTTACAATCTAGAAGATTGTAATGAACTCTTTCAGGTTGTGAGCCTAAGTGGTTATTGCATCTTGATTTTTAAACATAATTTTCCAATCTAATTATGGTTTTTCCACTTTCTATTAAGAAAGCAGTAAGATTTCAGCTTTCAAAAACATTCCCTTGTATGATAACAGAACTACATAAAGATACAAATAAAGTATTATAGTGTTGTGTTTAATATCCTTAAAAGAGAATTTAAATATCGTCTTCAAAATACATTTTTGAAAAAGTAGCACTTCCATCACAGCTCAACCTATGGTTGAGCAAAATGAATTTAAAGTCTCAGGGTAAGGATAAAAGAACAAGTTTTCTTTTTCTTTTTTTCCTGGTCAAACCATTCCAACCTTTCCTAGGACTATGAAAAAAAAAAAGCTTAAGTAAAAATACTTACGCATGTGGACAAATATATTTGATATGTGAACTTCTGATACCTGCAAAAGCTTCCGCCCATCCATGCCTGATGGAAGAAAATTTTAAATTATGTGAATAATACCATTTGATAAACAATGTTTTATGTTAAATGTCAAGTTGGTAATAGAATAATATTTTTAAAAACTGTCTTAAGAACAAATGTTTACTCTTTTAAAAAAAACTTTCAAAAATCAAACAAAAAAAGCTACTTTCAGCTTTGACAAGTTAACTACCATAAGTATTATAGACATAAAGATCTTTTTGTTCCAGACTTATAATTGTATTCTTATGTGGAATTCCCACAGAGGAAATTCCCTCTACCAATACAGTTCACCAACTGTAGTGCTGTTTCTAGTGATAAAATTGCTTGGGGCATCAAGAGGTTAAAAGACTTGCTCACAGTCACACAGATCAATGTATCAGTCAGCTGACTGAGGTCATCTCTTAGTCTCTACATTACACTGCCTGTCAATATAAGTATTATACACTATCATGTCTGTTTGGGTTTTTTTTCCACAGCACTATAAGAGGATTACAACATCCAAAACATCATCATTATATTCTAATGTCTTACATGTTTACAGCTTTACTATTTTCTAAAATATATTCACATAGATTCAATTCAATTATATTCAAACAAAAATTTATGTGTGAAACACTGTGCTAGGCATTAGGAATACAAAGATAAAAACATAACTGTCTCCTAGAAGTTTACATTTAAGCTAGGAAACACATGTACATAGAGAAGTATAATGCAAGGTAACTTCAGGAAAAAATATTATTAGCATTAGGAGAAGGAGGGAGAGACATGGTAGGCTTCATTAAATTAGTGGCACAGAAGAATCTGAAATGCAAAATGATGAGAAAGTATTTAAATGCATGGAGATAAGTGAGTCAATGTTGTCTTTCAGAATAGTTATTACAGTTTGGCGAGGAGGTAGAGTTCATAAAAAGGAGTAATATGAAAGATTAGAAAGGTAGTTTGGAACCAAATCATGAAGAGCCAGGCATAAGAGCTAATGTTTAAAACTAGAGGCAGGAGGAGGCAACTGAAGGTTGCAGGAGGGAGACATTTTCTTATTTGATTCTCAGTCACCTAGTAGGGTAGATACAAAAAAAATTTACTAATCTCATTTTAAAAATGAGAAAAATGAGGCTTACAGAGTTTAACTTGTAAAAGTCAGAGAGAAACAAGATTCCTAAATCTAATGCTTTCTCACTCTAAATGTTTCTCCTCATGTGATCTCCTATATCAAGAAAATGAGTACAATTCACTTAACATTCTATTTTCATAATTCATTCAGAAAATAAGAATTAAACCCTCCTTCTTTGTTTCTAAAGGAATATCCCTTACTCCTTACCTATCCTGGAGAAACTGTATATTTAAAGTAGTAATTCTTAACCTGAGGGATACAAAGATAAATTTCAGCGGGTCCAAGAACTTGAAAGGGAAAAAAAAAACTTTATTTTAACAAACTTCTCTCTGAAATTTAGCATTTCCTTCAATTACAAATTTTTTTAAAAAAATTATTCCAGGATAGAGCACTGGTCCTGAAGTCAGGAGGACTTGAGTTCAAATCCTGCCTCAGACCAAACACTTGACACTTACTAGCTGTTGTGACCCTGAGCAAATCACTTAACCCCAACTGCCTTAAAAAATAAAATTATTTTAACTAGACATCTACAGATTTTACCAGACTGCCAAAGGGATTAATGAAACAAAAAAGGCTAAGAAAACCCCAGTTTTTTAAAGGGTAAAAAACCCTTGGCTATCTAGATGAACTCATCATTCTATGACAAATCTGAATGGCTGACATTTAACTGTACTAGGAAAAAGCTTTTTAAATGACACATAAAATTATAAACCTTTTCACAGCCTGGTCTTTCATTTTTTTGGATACTAAGCCTGAAAGACAACTCAGAACTTAGGAAAACTACGACAGTTGTCCTGATTATATTGGAAAGGTTTCACGTGGAAAAGGAATGAAGCTTGAGCTCTACTTGTCCCCAGAAAGAAGAAGAAGCTGCAAACATTCAGGCTTGATGGCAAGAAAAAGTTCCTATTATTTAAGGTCATTAGAAAGTTGAATGGGCTGTCCTGGGAGACCAGTTTCTTCTCATAGGAGGCCTCCCGGCAAAGGTGAATAGGTGCTACGCAGGTGAGCTGCACAAAAGATCCTTTTTCAATGAACAGCACAAACATTAAGCTCTGTTTTACTCCGAAATTCTGTGACTTGTCTATTCCACTGAGGACTCCCCAAAGTTTTTGCCTTTCTTTCTATCCCCATAGCTCAGCACCATCTCCAACATATTCCAGGCACTTAATATGTTTATTGACATGGCTTTGTTCTCTGAATTATGACAAAGTCATCAATTTTACGGAATATGCTATATAAAAATTTGTAGGAACCAATAAAAGTGTCAAATACACTGTAAGTACATCATGGGCAAACTTCCGGTCTATAAGTAAATCTGAACAGCACTTTTAAAACCCCTTAAAAGTCTCATTAAAATCACCATACGATGTACACAACAGGTATTCCATTAACACCTGCTGACTAAATGAAAAAAAAAAAAAGACAGCAAAAATATCTTTCCTCAAAAGCTGAAGCTATATTATTTAGGCAAAGCTAGATCCTGACCTCCTATTTCCAAGAAGAGCCATTCTCTCCACTAATCTATTTTCTAACCACCAGGATACACAACACTCCAAGTCATTGAGGCTAACAAATTGATGTTCCTCTTGGCATTCTGTGTAAGGTTATGGTCCATATTAATGCTTTTGCTTATAGTCAGGATCTCAAGGTTATCTTGGAGCTTTACCGTTTCAAAAAATACAGACTTCCTAAAGTCATCCCATATCTTTTCAACATCATTAATACATTACATTTACTTCAGACTCATCTTTCACCTTAGTAGATATTCATCTTTTCTCAACCCCCCATATACACACATATATATATATATATAATATATATATATACTCACCCGTCCACAAACTAAATATCTACTTTATTGTCACCATCTTTAGTTATCACTGATAATAAAATCTCATTAGATTCACCTTTTAGTGCTACTCCCTGAGAAATGCAGTTTCATTTCAAAGTGAAATTATTATTTTCTTAATGTGTTAAATAGACTCAATAATATTTGTAAAGCACTTTACAAACCTTTAAACTTCATAATCCCAAAGGGAGAATTAAAAGAAAAAAGAAAACAAAAGAACTAGAAATCAGCTGGGTAGCAATCAATGGGGAAATGGCTGAATAAATAATCACGGTAGATGGCCCCAATTAATAAATAGTCACAAGGATATTTAATGGCAGTTTCCAAAGGGAAAAATTTAACCTATCAATAGCCATTTTAAAAAGTGTTCCCAATTACTAGTAACTAAAGAAATGCAGATTAAAGCAATTGTGAAGTTTGACTTTACCAACCATCAGAATAACAAAGTTGGCCAAAAAAAAGACAAGAAAAGAATGGAAAAAATGTCGGAGGCACTGTGGAAAACAGGTATATTAATGCACTGTTGGAGATATTAATTGGTATTGTAATCCTTGGAAAACAATTTGAAAACTTTGCCCCAAAAGTTGCTAAATTGTGCAGATCCTTTAACCCAGTGATAAACTACTAGATCAATACTGAAATTTTTCCAAAAAAAATTAATTTGAAAAGGATGCAAAAAAAAAGTACAGCAGCTCTCTTTGTGGTGGCAAAGAACTTGAAATTTAAGAGAGTGCCAAACTAGTGGGGAATGGCTGAACAAAACAATATAACATGAATATAAAGGATACAACTATGCCATGAGAAACAATAAAAAGGATGGTTTTCAGAGATATCTGGAAAAACTTACATGAACTGACACAGAATAAGGTGGGCAGAACCAGAACAATTTAAACTATAACAACAAAGTTATAAAACCTAACAATTCTTAAAGAACTGTGATCAATGCAATGATCCAACCTTAATTCCAGAGGAGCCATGCCATCTTTTGACAAAGAACTAATACACTAAATATGGAGAGTACACAATTTTAGTCATGGTTGTTAAGGGGCTCCCTCTCCCTGAACTTGTCTTTTTAAAAGTTGCTATATCTTCCAGGAACACTGGACCTGGAGTACGCAAGAGACCCTGAATGTGTCAAGGATGAAGCACGCTCTGAGCTGCCATAATTTCTTGTCCATATCACAATGAGAAACTGGAGCTGGAACCCTTGCAGATAAAGACACCATGTCTTCGTAGTCTAGCAGTTCTCAAGGGAAAAAGAATGCTGCTTTGGCCATCTTACTTATTGGATTTCTCTTCCCCTTTGGGAAGGAACTAGTCCTTTCCCCACCCCCCACAGCTCTTTTCCTCCTGCTGAGCCATTCCTGTTTAGGAGTGATTGCTCTTTCTCCTCCCTTCTTTGTCTCATAAATATGCAAACTTCTGTTTGGGTTGTGAACTCCTTGCACTTGCATAGTGTTCCACATACATGTTCATTTGTCTTGTAATAAACACAACTTTTTACACGTTTCTTATGAAGTTGTGATTTCCTGTTGACATGGCTAATGGGCTATTGGGTTATAAGCGCTTTGTTTGTTTGTAAGTGAAGTAACTGAAGCTTGCCCCTCTCCCTCCCTCCCTCTCTCCCCCCCTTCCCTCTTTTTCTTTCCCTATCTCTTCTGTTTCTCTAATAGTGGTTACAAATGTCTATAAAGCCTTAGGAGGTAAACTGAACAATCAATGTGAAAAATTCTATTATTTTCCTTACAAATTATCATATATTCTATTTTACTTATAAACTTCATTTCTTGCATTGTACTATTAGAAAAGACAACCTCTGTGACAAAAAAGGTTATAACGTCATAAAATATCTCACAGTACAGTAACACTTCCAAGTTTATATTACTTTAAGCATTTCAGTTACTTTCAATAATTTTTTCAATAATTTAATTCAATAATTCTCTTTCTCAGGAAAAAACGGGGGGAAAAATCATCTAATAATAATAAGAAATGACAGAAATTAAATTTCTCCATGAGCTGAGATAATCATTTCCCTACAAA